AGGTGGCGGGGGCAACACCTCACCGCGGGGCTCGCTAACCCGGGTCCGGCCCCCTTCACCCCCGTGCTGGTCGGGGCGATAAACGGCCTTGAGCCTGGCGAGGACGCACACATTTCATCGGCTCGGCCGAAGCGCTAGAGTTTCTGCCGGAGGGCCAGGCCTGCTTCCGGGGGCGCCACAGCGACCCCAGGGGCCCCGACTGGGCTCTGCGGGGAGGGGGCGGCTGCGGGAAGGGGCCGGGAGTCGCGGGAAGGGGCCGGGCATGCCGGACCGCACCGCCGGGTTTCCCTCGAATCGGCTCCCGCCCGCTACCTGCATCTTCCGGATATTCTCTCTCTCCAGACTCTTCACCATGGTGTCCACCGCCTCCTGCACCCGAAGCTGCTGCACGTCCGCCATGGCGACCCCGCGCTGCACCGCGCCGCGACGGCGCCCACATGGACTCCGCGCCCGGACCCGCCCCCTCGCCGCCGCTTCCCGGGTCACCGCGGCCGTCCTTCCCTGCCCACGCCGCCGCCTGGCGGCCGAGAGGAGCAACTGCACGCCGCGCGCGCTCCCCCGCCCCCGCGCGCTCCCTCCTGCCCCGCCCGCTCCTTCTTTACCGCGCACTCCCCCGCCCCCGCGCGCTCCCTCCTGCCCCGCCCGCTCCCTCCTGCCCCGCCCTCTCCCTCCTTCCCCGCCGGCTCTCGGCGTGGACACCCCGCCCTAGCCGCCTCCGGGAACCGACGGCTTATTCGCTTGATCCTGCACCGGGCACCGCAACTGCCTTACTCCCTTCCCTTCTCCTCTTCCTCCCTTCTCTTCCAACTCTTAACACATGTTCATTCAATACGTACAATTAACGTACAGAAATATGCTCAGATCTTAGGTGTACAGCTTGATGAATTTTAACAAACCTGCTCTTTCCCAGTCTCTGCCCTTTCTCCCCTATTCCCTCACTCCCTTACCCCAGGTAACAATTGATCTGCTTTCCGTCGCTACAAGGTTACATTTTCCCTTTCTGAAATTTTATATATATAGGGTGGGCAAGAGTAGGATTATAGTTGTTTGGTATGGAAAATAACACAATAGTGAATACATAATATAAGAATAAACTCTCATAACTGTAATCCTACTTTTGCCTACCCCATATTACTCTTTTTTCTGTCTGACTTCTTCACCTAGCATAAGCTTTTGAGATCCAGCGCTGGCATTGACTCCTGTTCCTTGCCAAATGGTAGCCCATTAAACAGACATAGCACAATTTATTTTTTCATTCCCCTGTTGACATTTGGGTCGTTTCCAGTTATTAGCTGTTATGAATAAAGCGGTGACTGAACATTCTTGAGTAAGTCTTTTGTAGACATAGATTTCTATTACTGTTGGGTAAATATCTGGAAGTGGATTTGTTAGATTGTTGGTAGATGTATGTTTATGCATTTATAAAATACTAGTGGGGGATGAGAGCACGAGGGGGGGGAGGTTGGGGGTTAATGGGGGGATGAGGACACATTTGTAATACCTTAACCAATAAAGAAATTAAAAAAAAAAACCACTAGTGACTCGGTGCACGGATTCGTGCACATTGAAAGGAAATTAATTAGAAGGTGCCGGTGGGGTGGGACTGGGCGAGAAGGGCCCGACACACCCTGGAGCCATCCTCCCACAGTCCCTCCTTGGTGCCTGTGGATTGAGCAGGGTCCCTCCACCAGGCCCGTGGGGATTGGCCGAAACTGGCTCTCTGACATCCCCCGAGGGGTCCCAGAGTACGAGAGGGCACTCTGCAAAGTTGCTGTTGTACAGGGTGTGAAATGCAAGTGTGCAGTAAACCAGATTTGGGGTGGACAGTGCCCCAGCAACAACATAACCCACGGCCCAAGGTGGAATTGCGTGGCCTCGCAAGGAATCGGGCTCCCTCCTCTCTGGTTTCGGGGTGCGTCATGCGAGAATTGCTGCTGCCAAGTCACTGCAGCTCAGCAGCTCCTGGTGGTCAGTGTGCGTCATAGCGACTGGTTGGATGGTAGGAGGGACACTTAGCATATTAGCCTTTTATGTATATAGAATCTATATTAGCTTCAAAGCCAATGCAGAGGCTACAGATATTCAATTGATGATGGAACATTTACATGCCAGCAACAGCAAGCCGTTTCTGAGCTCCTGGAACAGTTCTATCTGGAATGCCCCACCTTCCACCTCCAACTTCCCTTCCTATGCATTCACTTATTCAACACATATTGGGTCCTTGCTAGATGCCAGGCACCGTGCTAGGTAGGGGTAAGGGTCCACAGGGGAGCATCAGTGAAGGCGAAGGCGGCAGACAAAGGCAATGGAAGAGATGTGCTCTAGGGGATGGTCCAGGCTGGCAAGAAGGAGGTGAGGGGTTCAGATGCCTCAGGAAAGTTTTCTTAGAGCTGTTTGCCTGGCACACAAGAGGTGAAGAGAATGCCATGCCAGGCACAGGGGACTGCTGTGAACAACACAGAATGTGAAATAGCTTGAAGCTTTGGGGACACCAAGTGATTCTGCTGTCTTGGATCCTGGAGTAGAAAAGGAAACTGATGAGTGGGGGGACACAAGGAAAGGGGCCCTGACATTGGAATTTAGGCATTTGCTGCCATTGGGCGCTAGATGGCAGGAGAACTCTGGTGTGAGGGTAGGGGGAGGCTTGGGTCAACCTATGTCCTTTCAAGAAAGCTGCTTTCCAGTGCTCGCTTCGGCAGCACATATACTAAAATTGGAACGATACAGAGAAGATTAGCATGGCCCCTGTGCAAGGATGACACGCAAATTCGTGAAGCATTCCATATTAAAAAAAGAAAAAAAAAGAAAGCTGCTTTCTGGGTAGACCTAGGTAGACTCTAGGACAGCCGTGGGCAAACTACGGTCCGCGGGCCGGATCCAGCCCATTTGAAATGAATAAAACAAACAAAAAAAAAGACCGTACCCTTTTATGTAATGATGTTTACTTTGAATTTATATTAGTTCACACAAACACTCCATCCATGCTTTTGTTCCGGCCCTCCGGTCCAGTTTAAGAACCCATTGTGGCCCTCGAGTCAAAAAGTTTGCCCACCCCTGCTCTAGGAGGTGGTCGGCAAACTCATTAGTCAACAGAGCCAAATATCAACAGTACAATGATGAAATTTCTTGAGAGCCAATTTTTTTAAACTTAAACTATATATGTAGGTACATTGTTATTAACTTAATTAGGGTACTTCTAAGGCTTAGGAAGAGTGTCCACACTCAAGGGGCCAAAAAGCCGCCTGTGGCTCGAGATCCACAGTTTGCGGACCACGGACCTAGAGGGTATTATGGTAAGTGAAATAAATCAGTCAGAGAAAGACACATATCATATAATTTCACTCATTTGTGAAGTCTAACGAATAATATAAATGAACAAAGGAAACAGAAAACGACTCATAGATACAAGAGAACAGATTGATGGTTTCCAGGGGGTGGGGGTTGGGAGACTGGTTGAAAAAGGTAAAGGGATTGAGAAGTACAGATTGCCAGTTTCAAAATACTAGTAGTCATAGGGTCATAAAGTACAGCGTAGACAATATAGTCAATAATATTCTAAGAACTATGTATGGTGACAGGTGGGCACTGGATATATCAGGGGAACACTAACCACCATGCTGTACACCTAAGACTAATACAAAACAACATGGAATGCAAATTGATTGAAAAAATAGGTAAAGAAAGAAAGCTGCTTCCTTCAAGCACAGGCTCTCTCTAGCCCTAAGTGCTGGTAAAACTCCCTGGTCACAGCTGCTCATTATATATATATATATATATATATATATATATATATATATATATATATATATAGTATATAATACTAGATTTATAGAAACATTCCAACTATTATACCGAGAATTCTGGTCTACCCCTCGCCAGTTTTCCCTAATGTTCCATTAACATGGAACATTTGTTAAAACTAAGACGTCTGCGTATTATTATTAACTAAGCTGCAAATTTTATTCAGATTTCACCAATTTTTTGTTATAACGCACTTTGATGTTCCTGGATCCAATTTAGGATACCACACTGCATTTAACATCTAGGAATTTTGTCAGAAAATATAGTTCAACAAAAATCCCAACCAAAACTGGATTCTGTTCGGATTCATTCTAAGAATTAGTGTGCTGCAGTTATAATCAGAATTATGTTAATTTTGATAAAGTAAAATTTTAATCCTATTACTTTCTTTCAAGTTTCAAACTGGAGAACCAATCAGACCATTTCTTACACAATTTACTACCAAATTTACTTCCCATTTGTAGTAATTTAACCAGTTTGTTTTTTTTATGCTTCTAACTATGCTTAGATAACTACAATAGATGGTTAGTGAGGCTTCCCTTAAAATAAGCAAAAGAAGATGTGATTAGTATCTGTGGATTAAAAAAGTAAGTAAATTTGATGGCTCTATAATCAGTGGAACGGTGTGTAATATGCATATTGGTCCTTTAAGCTATGAGTTAAATAAATGAATAAAGCAAGACTATTTTGATGCAGTGTGGAACCCACAGATGAAGCACTGCCAGATGCTAATTATTCTCTGCCTGCCTCTTGTTGCACAAATGTATACTTTCAAACAGATACGCAGCACTGTAGTGAAAAAAGATTTTCATTCATTTTAGGAGTATTCCATTTCACCAATATCACTTTTATCATGTTAAAAAATGAGCCCCCATGGATATGTAGCTTCTATATTGGGGGTAAGGCAGCTTTCCATTATTTATTGGTTCAATAAATAACTCTCTTAATATCTAGGAGAATTAACATTTTCCAAGAAGCCAAATTCACTCTTTTCTTCAAAAAATTTTTTATTTTATTTTATTAAATTTTTTTAAATATTTTTTTTCCTTTGTGTGAAGAAATATGAATGAACTGTACATAAACATTTAAAAGCAAATTAGTTCACTGTCAAAACTTTAAATGTCTCAAGAGCACTGCAAATGCTAAACATGCTAAGATCGTGTTGCTACTTCAATAGCTGGGGAGTGGCGAGCGCTGGCCTATGGCTTAGGATCTGTGTCCATGCTTGTTTCCTGAGCCTCCTCCAACTCTGAGAGCTTCTTATCATTTTCCAGTATTTGCTGAAGTTCGTGGATGGTACTAAGAAGAACATGAAACTGTTTCTGTCTCAATTCCAGCTTATATTCAACACTTTCTTTAATATGTGAAAGATGCTCCAATTCTTTGCCCATAGCGTCTAGTTTCTTTAATGTCTCATGCCTGTCTGGATGATGCTGAATCACTTTTGCCAAAACACCATATTCTTCGTGATTTTTTTGTATTCGTTTTGCTTGAAGAATCTGCTTTTTGCACTCAGCAATTTTTTCATGTGCTCCAGCAATGCTACATTCTATTTCTTTGTAAATTTTTTCATAATTTTCCATTTCTCTTAGATTCATATCATATATCAGCAAAGTTTTTCCCATGGAAAATTCACACTGGGACAGTGTACTCAGCATACGTTGGTACTGGCTGTAACCCTCTTCCTGGGATCCAGAGTTGCACCATTTAATGAAACTTTTCACTAGTAGATTAATTCTGCGATCATCTCCAGCATCATTTCCATCAATTAGGAGGCGCTTCCGTATGACTTCATCTAAGGGTCCCTGTTTGGGTGCCATCTGTTGGCGTCTAGCCCCAGCAGGTCCAGGGGTTCCCATAGGTGTGGATGGAGTCAGTGAAGAAGGAATGACACAGAGACAGCGTTCAGTTGATCAGCAGCCTAGCCAGGATCTCTAGCCAGGTTCTGAGTTTTATTGTCTTGTTACATCTGTATTTATACCAGTTGATTTTAATCCTGTCAATCTCTATTCCAAAGGTTAGGGCGTTTCTTATCTCCATTCCAGGGAGTAAAGATTATGTAGCTTAAGCGTGATTGTTCGTAGTTAAAGTGATTAACTACCCGCCTGGCATTTAGTTAAGGGGTTTTATTCCCTCCCTAACTTCAGGGAAAAATCCCTACTTGGGGAAACAACCTTTCTCAGAGAGTTGACCTTGGTTAAAACACATAGCGCCAAGAAGGTGAGCAAACATATTAAGAACAGTATGCCATATACGCCAGGTCCCTTGAAACATATGCTGTGCAGATGTTTCTTCCCTGCAGTGACTGTGTCAAGCAGCAAGGATGGACCAGCTTCTGGCAAATTTCCCCCTTTTCATTTTTTAAATGTAGCGCATGTAAATCAGTGGCCACCTCTCGGATTGGGTTGTTTAAGACTTGGAAGAAGACTGACAAGCAATGATAGTGACCATGGCTATAAACATAGTGGATGGAGTGCACAAGGAGCTTTGTTCCTGTAGAAGGTTGCTGGCCTCTTCAGTCAAGGGGTTTCAGCTGTCCTCAAGTTGGGGGTTTGGTTGTCCTTGTTTTTTTTTTTTCAAAACTAAAAAGTTTATTTTGGATAAAATAATGAAGACAGATTACAATGGTACATTGTACAAAAAGACTAGAAAATAATTTAGTGCTGGCATCTGACAAACCCTCAACCTGTATCTGCAAAGCAGGACTGGCAGCCTTCTGCCCATTGCCACAAGTGGAGAGGTTTCCTTAGCAAGGAAGGACTATTTATATGCAGGGAGCCAAACCAAAGTTCCATCTTGCTGAAGAGAATAAGACTTTTCTTCATCAAAAACAACAGTCACACCAATAAATCTTCCCAGTTCTGCAAATCTGATGCAATCAAAAGTCCATTAAAAGCAGAGACCAGTCTACTCAAAGTATTCGCAATATTAGGCAGTGATAAAAGTTTCTCACACCTGTATTGTTAAGGGTTAACCATAATTTTGAGGAAAACAGGTGCTTTAGTTATTTCATTGTTATTTCCAGTTTACAGATCATGACTCCAATTCTGTGAGACCATACCGTATCAAACCAGAAACAAACAACAGTCCCGCCAAACGGCTCAGCTGAGAAGGACACTGTCTCCTGTCCTTTTTACCAGCTTTCCTCTTTCAAGAGAGTAAGTGCTTGGGCTTCATATCAAACACATGCCTGTCTGCCTCCCCTTTCTTCCCCAAGCGATCCATCTTCTTCTGAGCATTCTTCATCATAGTCTTGGCTTTCTTCACCATCTTGACATCCCGAAGACCAGACACATCATGTGGAGTTTGAGAGCAACTGCGACTCCGGGCAAGAGATGTGGGCGGGACAGTCTTCCCGCTTCCTTTTCCTAGTGACACTCTGAGACCTTCTGGCTTGGGCTGCATAATGGGCGTTGTCATTATCATCCATGTCAACACCAAGACTGCGCATCTCATTCTCCAAGACTTTCCGCTGAATCTTCTTAGCAGTTCGTGGCATTCTGGGTCCCTGTATGTCCTTCTCTTTGGATTGCAGAATTTTCAACTTCCTTTTTTCTCTGATTTCTTTTGCCAGCTGTCGGATTTCCACCATTTCTTCATCTTCACTTTCTGATTCACTGTCGTACTCTCCAGCAGCTGTTCTTAGCTCTTCTTCTTTTTCTAATTCTTCCAATTTCTGCATGATGTCAGGATCAATGTAATCAGCTACATTATGGCCTTCCCAGATCTCAGGTATCTTCTCATACTTTTCAGATGAATTCATTATGTCCCAATACTTTTGAAGATCCAAAATATAATCATCTCCCAGTTCCAGTTCAATATCTCGTTCCCTCTTCCTTTGAGCCTCCCCAATCTCCATTCTCTTCCGGCGTGCCACCACTCCTTCTGGGATGAAGGGGGTCTCTCCTTATCCTCTCTTTCGTTTGGCATAGCCAAATGCAATCTGTTCAGCACCTCATTGACTTTATTTCCTTTCATTTTGGTTTCAACTCGATGAGCCAAGAGCCTGTCACAAGCCTCTGTTTTCACTTTGATAACCCCTTCCTCCGTCAGGGTGCTGGTCTCTGTCACAGGAAATCCTTCAGCCTGCCAATCTGTCAATATTTTCTGGTCCTCTTCTGGAAGCTCAGCGATTCCCTTCACATCACATTTGTTTGCTACAACTATAAGAGGCTTGTTGACAAAGAGAGGTCTGGTGTTCTGGAAGAGCTCCAGCTGCGCCTGCAGCCCGTGCCCACACTGCTCAGACAAGTCTATCACATACAGCACCGCAGCACGCAGATGGGCCAGGGCCGTGATGGCCTGCATTTCAATTGTGTTCCGATCCTCCAAAGGGTGGTCCAAAATCCCCGGGGTATCTACAACCTGCCAGCGCAGATACTTATAATCCATGTGTCCAACAAACAGAGATTTGGTGGTAAATGCGTAAGGCTGGCATCCACATCTGCTCTTGTCACCTTATTGATGAAGCTGGACTTGCCGACATTCGGGTACCCACATAGAAGCAGGGTCCTCGTGTTCGGATCAATAGTTGGCAGACGAGACAGGTGCTGACGCACTTGTTCCAAATACTGCAAACTCTGTTTCTGTCTTTTGATAATAGTGCACATTCGCCCCAGGGCGGCACGCTTCAGCTGCTCGCAACGGTAGAGGGAGTCTCCATATTTCATAAGCCGCACATAATCTTTAGCAACATTGTCCACTAAATTCTTGGCAATATTTATTTGTCCCAGAGCCAACTTGTAATGATCTTTATCATAGAGAATGTTCATCAAATCAGCATAAAATGGATGGATATCATCCAATTTGGGGAAGTCCATTAAAATCTGTGACAGTCTGTCATGGTAATTCTGTTGAGTAAATTTGACTTTTCTCATGTAAAAATGTCTAATGCGAAGAATTTGGTAATGTTTATGAATGACCGTTGGAGTCTTCCGTTGCGTCTTCGATAATGTCAGGCCAATAAAGTCCTTGGCGGACGGCACCACCGTGATCTTCTTGAAGTTGTAGTGCGCCATGTCGGCGGGTCGGCCACGAGGGAGGCAGGCCTGGTTGTCCTTGTTGATCTGGCTAGCGGGCGGCGTCATTGGCGATGGGCTTCCCGGAGCGTCAGCGAGTTGAAGGGCTGCGTCAAAGGGTCCATCAGGGCCATGCTTGATGGCGGTGTTGGTGTCCGGGGAGGAGTCAGCTGTGCGCTCTGCGTCGGCCGATATGGATGATACCGGGGAGGAGGAGGAGGCCCGGGACAGGGCTTCCTCAGCCCAGGATGTCAGTTCTTCAGAAATTATTATTGAACTGTGGCAGTTGGCTAGTGTCACAAAATTGCTGTGTGGCACACAACACTGAACATTTATTTCTCAGGTGCCTGAAGGCTTCGGCTAGGTTGGCCAACATGTGGTCTTGACTGGGCTTCCTCATATGCCTGGGGATTAGGCTTTGAGGCAGCTGGTTTAGGCTGGGCTGGCTGGGTGACTGGGCTCTCTCTGGGTGACCCTCCTCCTCCTCCTGGGACAGTGGGCTAGCTGGTCCCATCCTCCTTGTGATGGCAGAAGCACAACAGAGCAAGCCCAGATTGTCAAGCCTCCTCTTGCATCACATCCATTCTTATCCCATCGGCTAAAACAAATCAGATTGTAAATTACTGAGAATCAAGGGGTTGGAAGGTGTACTCTGCTTCCTGATGGAAGGAACAGCAAAGTCACACGGGCAAAGGCACAGGCACAGAGAGGGCTGGAGTCTCATGGATCTGTTTGTTGAAACTCTTTAGCCTGTCGGGCTGGTGTGGCTGAGCGGTTGAGCATCAAGCCAGGAACCAAGAGGTTGCCGGTTCCATTGCCGGCCCGGTCAGGGCACGTGTCTGGATTCTGAAGATCCCCAGTAGGGGCCATGCGAGAGGCAGTGGGCCGAGAGAGGATGTTCCTCTCTTTCCCATGTTTCTATCTCTCTAGCCCTCTCCCTTCCTCTCTCTCTAAAAATCACTAAAAGCATATTAAAAAACATACAAACAACAACCCCCAAACGATTTAGCCTTCTCATAACAGCAGCCTGTCTGACAGTGCTGAAAATTCAGCAGGGCCTGGCCTTTTAAGGATTACATATAGGAACAATCTCAAAGCCTTAAAATGCAAATTGTAACGCCCGATTTCTATCATTAGATTTAGAAAAATAATTAATAGTCTGGGAATCATAATTTTACAGATTCTACAGGAAAGGTTCAGTGCACTGAACTGACTCACATACGACCATTCCTTTGATGAGGACTCATCTCTGAGTCTCGGACCAACGTCTCTTCCCTTTCCACCTTGAGCATTAGCCCAGGAAACTCAGGTGATTCTTGGGAATGGCGGGAAGCAGTTTTAAAGTCACAGCACAGAGCTACATGCAGTTCATAGGAAGGTTTTATTCTGAGTAATAAATAAATGTATTTATTTTAATTAGGCCTATAAACATTGATCTTTCGGGGGTGGGAAATTATTAGGTGGCAAGGTTTTAGGGGATTTGAAAGGAATATGACAGGATTTAATTTCTTAAATAAGCACTGCTTTATCACAATTATTTTTTTTCCAAATGGCTAATTCTAGGAAAGTTTTCAAATTCTATCTTTATTCCATTTTTTTTGTTTTTTTGTTTTTTTTTGGTTAATCCTCACCAAGGATATTTTTCCATTGACTTTCATAAAGAGTGGAAGAGAGAGGAAAATACAGAGAGAAACATCGATGTGTGAGAAACACATGGATTGGTTCCCTTCTGCAGGAGCGGTGACCAGGTCTGGGCCTGCAACCAAGGTACACGCCCTTGACCGGAATCAAACTCGGGACGCTTTGGTCCGAAGGCTGATGCTCTATCCACTGAGCCAAACTGGCTAGAGCCCATTTTTCTAACAAATGTAAATCATTTAGGACAGTATAGCACAGTGAAGTGAAGATGAGTGCTATGGTCTGAATGCTTGTGACTCCTCCCCACCATCCCCCAAATTCATAAATTGAAATCCTATTGGCCCAGCTAATGGGATTAGGAGCTGGAGCTTTGGGATTGGATTAGGTCCGGGGGTGGAGCCCTAACGATGAGATTTGTGTCCTTATAAAGGAGGCCTGAGCGAGCTGCCTGCCACATTCCCCAGCTGAGAATACAAGAGGTCAGAAGTCTGCAATTGGAAGAGGGCAGTTGGCTGGTGTCACAAAATTGCTGCGTGGCACCCAACACTGCAGGTTTGTTTCTCAGGTGCCTGAGGGCTTCGGCTAGGAGGCAGGAGGCGCTCTAGCCCTTGTCGACTCTCGGAGCGCCTGGAGGCGAAGGGGGAGCCAGTATGATGGCGGAACAGGACATGGAAAACGAGCTTCTGGATTATGAGGAAGATGAAGAGCCCCAGGCTCCTACAGAGAGCACCCCAGGACCCCGCCAGAAAGATGTCAAGGGGGCCCACGTTTCCATCCACAGCTCTGGCTTCCGGGACTTTCTGCTGAAGCCTGAGCTCCTGAGGGCCATAGGGGACTGTGGCTTTGAGCATCCATCTGAGGTTCAGCACCAGTGTCTTCCCCAAGCCGTCCTGGGCATGGATGTCCTGTGCCAGGCCCAGTCTGGAATGGGCAAGACTGCAGTCTTCGTGCTGGCCACCCTACAGCAGATCGAGCCCGTCAATGGACAGGTGGCCGTCCTGGTCATGTGCCACACTCGGGAGCTGGCCTTTCAGATCAGGAAGGAGTATGAGCGCTTCTCCAAGTACATGCCCAGTGTCAAGGTGTCCGTGTTCTTCGGGGGTCTCTCCATCAAGAAGGACGAAGAGGTGCTGAAGAAGAGCTGTCCCCACGTCGTGGTGGGCACTCCAGGCCGCATCTTGGCACTCGTGCGGAACAGCAGCCTCAGCCTGAGAAACGTGAAGCACTTTGTGCTGGACGAGTGTGACCAGATGCTGGGGCAGCTGGACATGCGGCGGGACGTACAGGAGATCTTTCGCCGGACGCCACGCGAGAAGCAGTGCATGATGTTCAGTGCCACGCTGAGCAAGGAGATCCGGCCCGTCTGCCGGAAGTTCCTGCAAGACCCCGTGGAGCTGACGGTGGACGACGACACCAAGCTCACGCTGCATGGGCTGCAGCAGTACTACGTCAAGCTCAAAGAGAGAGAAAAGAACCGTAAACTCGTCGACCTCCTGGACGTGCTAGACTTTAACCAGGTGGTGATCTTCGTGAGGTCGGTGCAGCGCTGCATGGCCCTGGCCCAGCTACTCGTGCAACAGAACTTCCCAGCCGTCGCCATCCACAGGGCCATGGCGCAGGAGGAGCGCCTCGCACGCTACCAGCAGTTCAAGGACTTTCGGCGGCGGATCCTGGTGGCCACCGATCTGTTTGGCCGAGGCATGGACATTGAGCGAGTCAACGTCGTCTTCAATTATGACACGCCTGGGGACTCGGACACCTACCTCCACCGGGTGGCCCGAGCCGGTCGCTTTGGCACCAAAGGCCTGGCTATCACTTTTGTGTCTCATCACAATGATGCCAAGATCCTCAATGAGGTTCAGGGTCGGTTTGAAGTCAATGTGGCGGAGCTTCCTCAAGAAAAGGACATGTCCACATACATCCATGTCAGGTCACCACACACCTGACATCCCGGAGCCACCCTGCTTCCCACGTGCTGCTTCAAGTCTTCTTAACAATAAATTCTTACTATGGAAAAATAAATAAAAATATGGCCTTGTAGTTTGCTTCTTCCCCCCATTGTTCAAGTCACTCATCCATATATATATGTATGTATATATACATATATATATACACACACACACATATATATATTCATATATATATATATACACATACATATATATATAATAATGCTAGATTTATAGAAACATTCCAACTATAAGACAGAGAATTCTTTTCTACCCCTCACCAGTTTTCCCTAATGTTCCATTAGCATGGAACATTTGTTAAAACTAAGACGTCTGCATATTATTATTAACTAAGCTGCAAATTTTATTCAGATTTCACCAACTTTTTGTTATAATGCACTTTGATGTTCCTGGATCCAAGTTAGGATACCACACTGTAATTGTGACTTTTATGTCAGAAAATATAGTTAACAAAAATCCCAACCAAAATTTGATTCTGTTCGGATTTATTCTAAGAATTAGTGTGCTGCAGTTATAATCAGACTTATGTTAATATATGATACAATAAAATGTTAATCCTATTATTTTCTGTCACTTTTCACACTGGAGAACCAATCAGACCATTTCTTACACAATTTATGCTTCTAACTATGCTTAGATAACTACAATAGATGGTTAGCGAGGCTTCCTGAAAATACGCGAAAGAATATGTGATTAGGATCGGTGGATAAAGAGGTGAGTAAGTTTGATGTCTGTATCATCACTGGAACTGTGTGTAATATGCATATTGGTCCTTTGAGCTACAAGTTAAATAAATGAAAAAAGCAAGACTGGTTTTGATGCAGTGTGGAACCCACAGATGAAGCACTGCCAGATGCTAATTATTCTCTGCCTGCCCCTTGTTGCACAAATGTATACTTTCAAACAGATACGCAGCACTGTAGTGAAGAAAGATTTTCATTCATTTTAGGAGTATTCCGTTTCACCAATATCACTTTTATCATGTTAAAAAATGAGCCCCAGTGGATATGTAGCTTATACATTTGGGGTAAGGCACCTTTCCATTATTTATCGGTTCAATAAATAACTCTCTTAATATCTAGGAGAATTAACATTTTCCAAGAAGCCAAATTCACTCTTTTCTTCAAAAATTTTTACTGAACTGTGGCAGTTGGCTAGTGTCACAAAATTGCTGTGTGGCACACAACACTGCACATTTATTTCTCAGGTGCCTGAAGGCTTCGGCTAGGTTGGCCAACATGTGGTCTTGACTGGGCTTCCTCATATGCCTGGGGATTAGGCTTTGAGGCCGCTGGTTTAGGCTGGGCTGGCCGGGTGACTGGGCTCTGCTCTGGGTGACCCTCCTCCTCCTCCTGGGACAGTGGGCTAGCTGGTCCCATCCTCGTTGTGACGGCAGAAGCACAACAGAGCAAGCCC